AACTCTATTTGTGAGAAAATAAAGGACATAAATTTAATTTATGTACAGCATTGAATGACAGCACAATTGTCAGTTGAAATACCGCAGTGCAAAAAATGACCTGGTAAGGATGGGGGGGTAAATCCTCTGGAGGGCAAGTGGTTAGTCTTGGCACGCAGGAAATGCCAGGATTGCACTCTGAGCTGCACATACACAGCATGGTGTACTTTGTTCAGAGGTTTGCAAGTTGGCAGGTAAGAAGGTTTAATCGTAGAAAATACTTAATGAGGATGACTGGCTAAAGACAAATAAGCTGTTCACATTCTAAGAGAATTATCCCTTAGCTTGCTGAATGAGGTGGAGCTTTACTGACTTTCATCATCCAATCATATGCAAGCACACGTTTTCTTTTTTTAAATTTTCCTTGTATGTGATTGGGTATACTTTGCCAAGTGCATTTTCTCCACATTCATTAAGCTAACAGAACATTCCCTTGCAATGTAAACAGCCCATTTGCCTTTAGTAAATCCACCCAGGTATGTCTTTATTGTAGTAAAATGTCTGCTTGCTTGCAAATATTTTTGTTTAAGCAATGTTCCATTTGAAATCTCTCTCCAAAAACATCCTTCTTCTAGGAATAAAACAAAAAAAGTGTGCTGTCCCTTTAAATACAAATGACTAAGAAATTTACGAGTTTGTGCAAATAAACAAATGTAAACATAATAAGTTTGTGCAAAATTTCAAATTAAAAAGAGTTGAGAAACTATGCATATATTAATAGTCCATTGTAGGTCAAAACGTGGCAAAGTGCTCAGTGCTTGTAAACTTCCAAGCAAAATGTCACTCTCAGACTCCACCAAATTGTTTCCCTAAAACTGGCATCCTCTGGGATTGGGATGGATCCTCCATCTCCAATCCCAGAGGAAGCAGGTTTTGGAGAAACATGTCGCGTGGAGTATGAGTGTGACGTCATCACGCACTGGCATGGCGGCTGACACGACGGCCGGTTTGCTTGTGTAGTATATGGCTCATTCTTATCCTGCATATATCTAAGGGCATTAAGTGCACAGACTTATTATGTTTACATTTATTTATTTGCACAAACTCATGAATTTGTTAGTCATTTGTATTTAAAGGGACAGCACACTTTTTATGTTTTATTGTTAGTGGGTCTAGTATTCAGGGTATTTTGTTGCAGCAGTCTCTTATATATAATTGTTATTTGTGCAAGAATGTCTTTTATTTATTAGCCTTTTTCTATGGCTTTTGGAAACTGTTCACTATATGAGGTGGTATCAAAAAGTTTCGAGACTAGTTTTGTAACACGCTAACAGATGGCAGCACAAGGCTGCACACACAGTCACAGGGAGTACTGACCTTCATAAGTCAGTGTGCCAAAAGAATTCATCCTGTGTACATCGGCAGCTGTGCAACTGGTGCTATTATGACCACATTACCACATCTGCTAGTTCATCATGGACAGCAAGTTGGAACAAAGAGCAAACGTGAAATTCTGAGTGAAACCCGTACACCCAAGTTTTGTCACTGATAAAGATTCTTGACATAAAGAATAGGTCATGCACGACATGCAGACAAAGATCTTGGCAGACTTCAAAGTGGTGTGCCTGGGTCAGCAGCCTGGGGACTTTGCCACTCAAAACACCTCAAACGACTCATTGCAGCATCGCTCTAAACTTGCTGAATCATATCAAATGCCTCTGTGGCAGATTTGCCCAGTTTCACGTAGAATTTCACGTTTGCTCTTTGTTCTTACTTGCTGTCCATGATAAACTAGCAGATGTGGTAATGCATGTGGTCAGAATAGTACCAGTTCCACAACTCCTGATGTGCACAGTATGATGTCATTTGGCCCACCTTTATGGAGGTCGGTGCTCCCTGTGACTGTGCGTGAAACATCATACTGCTAACTGTTGGCGTGTTACAAAACTAGCCTCAAATTTTTTGATACCACCTTGTACGCGAGGCTGGCTCATTCAACAGTGAGAGCTAACAAACTCATTGACTATACACAGACACTGCAATTTAAAAAGCCACAGATGTGGGAAACAAACCTTTAATTGTCATTTTAACTTTTGTGTGTCACCTTGTGGGTCTGTGCCAAGGCCAAACATTCCAGCAGGGGTGGACTGACCATTCGAGCACTCGGGCACTGCCTGAGGGCCCGGGGTCAGTAGGGGGCCCCATGAAATGCCCCTGTTACCTTTTTATAGGCTTTTTTGGGTGTCCTTTGAGTGTGGGCAAGGACACAGGGGCCCCATGATCCCCTAATGCCCGGGGGCCCCATGAGTTGTCAGTCCGCCCCTGAATTCCAGGGTATGTAAACTGATCAGGGGCATGATTTCTGTTATCATTATGATTTAAAAAGAAGCCAAAAAACATGTGATAATAAATGGCTTCATATGATCACAACCCTTAAATAAAAGTTTTTTTTGCATGACCAGTCATATTTTCAATATCAATGCCAAACTTTCATGGTATGCAAACTTTTGAGCACAACTGTACTAGTATATATTCATTTAGAAAAAAAAAAGAAAAAAAAATTATATATATATATATATATATATATATATATATATATATATATATAAAAGTATGAACTATATTGAATTGAATTGTTTTGTGTACCATCTGGTCCAAAAGCCTCTGGATATGTATGTTTCTAAACAAGCGTTTCTGCTTGTAAAGCAATCTGAGAAGAGGACACCCTTAAAAGAGATCACACCTGGGTCTGAGTGCCTTGGTCAGTTCTCACGTAAATTCAATATAAACAGGAACTCTCTTCTAAAATGACCATATTCTAGCAGCAGCTGTTTTTGACAAAGAAAGTTATGTAAGTGTGATGCAGTCCATAGGAACAGCTACTTTAAAGAAGAATACTATGACAGTGGCCAAAGTTAGGCATAGAGGCCATTTCAGACTTTCAGAGTTTTTGGCTGTAATAACAAGGCAGCAGTCTCCAAACTACGGCCCGGGGGCTGGATGTGCCACTTTTCTTGCCTTTATCTGGCCGTTGGGATATTCCGTCCACTGATACCATTAACGGATACCATTAATGGTCCTCCTACTGACACCAGCAATGGGGCACTATTCCTCCTGCTAAGACCAATGATAGAGCACTATTCCTTTCACTGACACCATCAATGGGACACTAATCCTCAACTTGGATACCAATAATGGGGCACTATTCCTCCTGTTAAGACCAATGAAGGAGCACTATTCCTTTCACTGACACCGTCAATGGGACACTAATCCTCCCATTGATACCAATCATGGGGCACTATTCCTCCTGTTAAAACCAACAATAGGGCACTATCTTTCTTGTTAAAACCAATGGTGGAGCAATGTTTACTCCCATTTTCTACTCATACTGGCCATAGCCCAGCCCCCCATATCCTGAAGGACAATAAATTGTCCCTTTGTTTAAAAAGTTTGGAAACCCCTGCAATAATGACTGAGAGAATGGGGGGGGGGGGGTGTCGGTGGAGATGGAAGACCCATTGTATGTTATTATATTGCCAATCTTACATAGATTAGGACGTGAGTGTTCACAGGGAACCAATCTGCTACCTTCAGTGTAACTGTTCAGAGTGCACATATGGTAGGTTGATTTAGCGTTAGGTATGTTTACTTCCAGGCATTTGCCTGGTGGGCCAGGGCTGCTAGGCTGCATGTCCAGTCTGGGCTGCATCTGCTCTGATCAGACACTGTGTGCTCTCTGGACACATCCTTGGATTCCCCTCCAATCGGCGCATCCACATCTTGAGGGGACCTAGACCAGCTCATCCATTGCTCCATGGACTTCATAGCTTAGTGGGCGCAGTGCTACATAGACAAATAGTACCGGGAGGTCATCAGCAAGTATCACCATGCTCTGCTGGAGCTGAAGGGGCTCCCCAGGGAGCAGGACAGTACAGCCGGTACACAACTGGATGGGTACTTGATGTCTGATGCAAAGAGAGGGAGGGGATTGGCCTCCAGGCATAGGAAAAGAGCAGGGCGGGGTCAGAAAACATTCTTGCTTTATGATTGGCTAGTTGAAGTGTCCATCAGCGGAGTAGTAAAGGAAAAGGGGGAGATGGTTTGCTGTGTAAAGAGTGATAGGAGAGAACGGAGGAGAGCCATGCATGGGGGTCCAGAGGGGTGACCATTGTGTGCTTCTGGGAAGGGACATTGTCACCTGTGGGGGGAAGGCAGGTGTGCTGAACTTCCACCAACACAGAGAGGGGAGCACACATGTGGGATGGGGGCTCAGCCTGAGTGTTTACTGTGTGCATCTTGGACATGTCTACATGATTAATCATGGGTCATCTTATAGGGGCTCATAACCATGGGTGTGAAAAATGCCACTTCTTTATTACTGTAGCTGCTGTTCACACCTGTGCAGTACACATGTGCTTTAGGTGCCTTATAAAGACATCCTGCTTGCTGCATCTTTGTTGCGCTTTCATTAAAATGCACATTATATAGAATTCAGTGGTAACACACCTAAAGCACACTGCAGAGATGTGAACAGGACCTGCACTTTTGCAGTGCTAAAAGGTACCTGCTCAGCACGAGAAAAGCACAAGTAAAACAGTCCCCATTAAAGGCTATGTAACCAGTCATATCTGTGCGCTGCATTTTTATACTGTGTGTTGGGTGCTTGAAAAGTCCTGCTTGCTGCATTTTTAGCACATTTTGGGTTGATTTACTAAAGGCAAATAGGCTGTGCACTGCAAGTACAGTGAAAATGCAGTGGCTTCAGGTCTGAGGGGAACATGCAAGAAAAATAAATAAAACAGCATTTTTACTTGCACAGGATTTGAAGGAAAGGAATCGGCAAAGCTTCATTTCATTTCAGAGCTTCCTCTTGGATCTAAAGCCACTGCACTTGCACAGTATATTTACCTTTAGTACATCAACTCCTTTAGGCTGTCCACTGCACCTGCAAACCGGGGGCAGGAAAACTCTAGCAAGATGAGGCTTTTGTGTGAATGCCATCTCAATTTAAAAATCAAAAGAATGGGCTGCTCAGACTAAAATGACCAGGCCCATCTTTTGTCCCAGTTCTGGCCTGTTTACTGCTAAGCTTACACGGGGGATTGGGTAAAGGCAGGGGCAGACTGACAACTCATGGGGCCCCCGGGCAATAGGGGATCATGGGGCCCCTGTGTCCTTGCCCAAACTCAAAAAAGCCTATGAAAAAGGTACCAGGGGCATCTCATGGGGCCCCCTACTGATCCCGGGCCCTCGGGCAGTGCCCGAGTTTCCAAATGGTCAGTCCGCCCCTGGGTAAAGGTTAATGTTAAGCTAAGGGTTTTGTTTGGAAATTGAGATAAGTGTTACAGTCTTGGTTAAGTGATGAACTTGTTGAGGTTAAGTCTTCATTTTTGCAATGTTAAGGCGCAGGTCTGTGTAGGACAAATTCACAGGGTCATGTTCAGGATCAGGAATAAGTTTTATGTTGACTGTACAAACATTTACCTACATTTGATTTCTGGGCCAAAAAGCTCCTGCTGCCATAAAACCACTATCCAAGCATTAGCTTAGAAAGCCAGAGCTCTTCTGTAAAGGGGACAGCAAGAACCTTCTACCAAGTCAAACTCAGGTATTTACACAGCTTGTGTTTTAAAATTACATGTAATTATATAATAATAAACACAGAGCTGCACGTTTTTGACTTTTATATCAGCTTTTAAGGTTAAAAACTCTTAAAGGGGTGGTAAACCGCAGCTTAAAAAAACACAAAAAAAAATCCCCTGCAAGGTAATGTCCTAATGTGAAAGACTTACCTTAAAATGAAGCCTTCCATCTTCACCCAGTCTTCCTTCTGAGTTTGTGAGCTCTAGCTGTATAACTGGCCGAGACGAGATGACGTCACTCCTGCAGAACAAAAAACAGTTTGTACATATACAATAGATCACTATGACACTGTGTTGAGAGCAAACATACAGGATCAACACATTTCACTCACAATGCTTTATCAGGATCCATGCCAGTGCAGGGATATTCACAAACTGTGCAGATTAAAATTTACATAAGATATTATATTAAGTATTATGTATGCGGGCCAGATGGGGAGAGTCATGGGGGGACCTGGCAGACAATCCCAGCTAGGTCTCCATCCCCCATGTCCCACCCATGTCAAATCGCACCTAATGACGTGGTATAATGAACAGGACTCTCTGTGTGGTGATGTCACCTCCAACGTGATGTCACCATGCACGCTAAATAGTGTGCAGCGTCATGACATATGCTACAACCTGGACCGGAAGTGTCCAGACCACCATGACGGAAAAAGGCGCAACAGCACCATAACAGAAGGGGTGATACCAAAATAGCCTAAAAAAAGGGGAGGAAAAAAGAAAAAAACAAGCCACATAATCACCATTGCACTAAGGCCATATAGCTACATCAAAATACAATACCACGCAGACATGGCTCTCCCCACAAGGCCGACACACACACACACACACACAAAAAAAGACCCAACAGAGAACAAATTCCCAAGGCCATTGATCCAAATAGAACAAACTGTATTTAAAGTTATAGAAAATAGAAAAACAGGTAATTCAAGTAATGTATGCAGTGCTCCCAGAAAAGAGTAAAGTTACCCTGTCATATTTTCAAGTCAATATAAAAATCATACATAAACAGAGTGCAACCGATAACTGAGTACACAAAAACCCCTAATCATTGCCCAGCCAAAAGGAGAGCAATAGAATATGGCATTACAAATCTATAGAATGTTTTCACAGAAAAGAGGCAAAAGTAATTTTTTTATTTAACCCTGGTTTGCTACGGGCCTTTGCATAAATTAAAAATCCACCTGCATTCCCTTTGCAGGATTGCTTTATCAAAATGCCCACTTCTTGCATAGGAATAAATTCTCTCCAAAGCTCTTAAACGCAGTCCCTTTGGACTATAGTTATGATGTTGGGAAAAATGTCTTGCTACTGGGCTGAATAAATCCCCTCCTTTGATATCATTTACATGGTCATGTATCTGTTCCCACAATCTATGTTTGGTCTTTCCTACGTAAAAGCAACTACAGGGGCATGTCAGCAAATATACAATTCCTACCATTTGCCAGGTCACAAAATGTTTCATACGGAGGACCCTTTTATCTGGCAAGATGCACTTCGATTCTCTATCAATAAATTAGCAAAAATTACAGTTACCACATGGATCTTGACGCCAAACCCAGACTTTCTGTCAATGGGCCCATATGTGCGACCCCAATTTCCACTTGGGAGACCTTGACATTAGTCAACACCACCATGTAATCTGTAATGACTAGAAACAATCATATCCTTAATTGACATGTTTCTGTGATTTTAGGTGCGATGTCTATTAATTCACCCAATATTTTGTTGTCTGTCAGAATATGTCAATGTTTTTTTTAAAAATGTCCCTGGTCTGTTCTGATTGCGTGTGCTGGTCTGGATTGTAGCGTGCGTCACTGTGACGCTGCATGCTATTCAGCGTGCATCGTGACGTCACACAGAAGGTGACGTACACAACACAGAGCGTCCTGCACAGTGTACCCACACTTCATTGGATGCGCGGTTTGACCAAGCCCATTTTTGGAGGTTTGTGTGGGAATTGTTTTTCCCAATTCAATTGTAGAATTCCGTTTCTGAGAAATATATAGAAATATCAATACATTTCGGCCATTGTATAGATACAGGGCTTTCCCCCCGGAATTTGTTGGATAACATTCTGCATTATGGCATGAAATTAGAAGGACCCATATTTGAGGGTATGCTATACTTTAGTATTTGTTTAGTTTTATTTATTTGCATATGGGAGTTGAGATGTACCAATCTCCTCTCCTTGATTAATGGGAGTGTATGGAAATTGAGTTGTATAAATCCTCCTCTAATCATTTATAGCCTCTTCTGGTTATGCTTTCAAGATCTTTGGGTATAAGCTCTATTCTGAAGTCTATCTACCGAGGGGCCTTTAGTTACCTGTTTTTTTAGGTAGGTTTTGGAGATACTATCCTAGTCCCACTAATGAAATGTTGTATTGTGGATACTTATAATATGTTTGGCTTTATTATAGTTGGCTTATTCCATGTTATATGATCCTTGGCAGGGCCTTTTGGTCTTTCGTGTGTACCATCTTTAATATATTGGGCATTTCATTACATTTGAGAGAAGGTAAGCGCACTGTATAAATGGGGTGTATGTGATGATTCCCAGTGGTCTGTCTGCCAGGCCCCCCCATGACTCTCCCCTTGTGGCCCGCATACGTTTTAGTTAGTGAGGTTATTGGGCGGTAGGTTAGTGGGGGGTTTTTTTTCTCTCTTCTCTCTGGCCACTCTCTGAATGAAGGTTTGTTATGTGGAGGTTGTGTATCTTAGAAATAAATAAAATTTGGAATATATCTAATTATGCTCTGTAATATATAATGCATTTTATATAAACGTCTGTTTTAATCTGCAAAGTTTATGAATGTCCCTGCATTGTCATGGATCCTGATGAAGCATTGTGAGTGAAACAAATTGATTCTGCAAGTTTGCTTTCAACACAGTGACATGGTGATCTATTGTATACCATATGTACTAACTGCTTTTTGTCTGGTGACATTCTGCATGTTGTTCTGCAGATTATTTTAATATTGTTTTATGCAACCTTTTGTAATACAGCTTTATATATACTTCTAAAAAAAATTGCCATAGGATTGTATTATGATGGCACACATAAAATCCCCCTTTTACAGTCCAGCCCTCCTTTGAAGGAGGTTTAGGAGTAAGATTGAATTAATCATTTTCTACAGGGATGGTGCCTGTTTAAAACTCAAGATCTTATCCACATATATCTTTTGTAAGCTTTATTATAAGCTTACCTGTAGGTAAAAGTATAAAAAAAGAGTTTACTACCACTTTAAGTGGTCAAGCTAAACCTTAATATACATAATTGTATGGTATATTTTGAAAGCATAGATTTCACTATGAATTATCATATTCTTTTCTGCCTAGTATATAAATAGTTATCCACATCCACAGCAGTTTGTAATAGATTTATCTTTATTTTTGGGTTGATTTTATCAAACTTAACTGGAAAAAGACTATGGAATGTATAAGCAACATAGATGACATACAGTGGAATAATTATACATACAGAAAGCAGAAGGTGCTAATCATTCAGATAGAAGAATATATACAATAAACTATATTGTGCTATACAATAAACATTAAGCAATAATTAAAAGATGATATTAGATGATATTAGTCAGGGTAACAGGAGGTGATCCTTTAAGAACGGTAGAAATCCTAGAGGGGAGGCTATCGGGGGGATTCTAGTAGTGCTGGGTGTGTAACTTGCTACATACCCATCATTTTTCATATCCTGACCTTTGTGCATAAGTGTACTTAAACTTGAGAAATGACATTTTCCCAGTGTAAGTTTCCACATGATTATAAGCAATTTCCTCTTTTCTGTCTCTCGTGGCCATACTGTGAGCCACAGATAGAACTAATCATACCCATATCATCTGGATGATATGTACAGTTAGAAACAATCCATGTGGGCAGGAATACTATCAGGACTAGGATAAGTAGTCCAAACATCATCTTCCAAGAATATAGGGGCAAGACTAGCCAGGACATCTTCTTCAGAGACTTTATCACCTGCTTCACTGACTCTTCGAGGTTTTAAAACACCTGCTTCACCTCCTTTATCTGTATCCGGTCCTTCAGGCTTGGAGGGAATTTTCTTTATCCTGCTGGCATGGATCCAGGTATTAGCTTGTTCCGTTAGGACAGCCGTCCGGGTTACCGCAATCCTGTAGTTGGTGGTCTAAAAGGGTATTCTTGCTTCTTATTCTGATTCAGCTGTTTAATCACCACGTCACCTGGTACAATGGAGTGGGTTGGTTCCTGTGAAGGCAAAGGAAGAGTGCAAGCTACTTTGCCATAAACACTGTTTAATTTCTCAATCAAGTTTTTACAATATTCTTTCTGTATTTGCTCCAGGTCCCCTCTTTCTATTATTAGGGGCTTTCTAGTCCAAAGAGTAGGAAGCGATCTCCCCATCACGATTTCAAATGGAGAGAGACCATTTGTCTTGGAGGGAGTCATTCTAATCTCAGCCAAGACTGCTGGCAGTGCATTTTTCCACTTGTGATAAGTCCTACCTGTGGCCTTCCTAAGCTTGTCCTTGATTGTTCTATTCATTCTTTCCACTACTCCCAAGCTCTGGGGATGATAGGGGATATGAAATTTCCCCTCAATCTGGAGCAGTTTCACCAATTCCTGACATACTTTGGATGTGAAAACTGGCCC